TACCTTCCCCAAAATAATTCCTTATGTTCTAATAAGAATGTATTGGAAGCAATTTCATCAATAATGGAAGATCCAATTACTGGTCTTCTGGATTAAGGCATTCTCTTATTGCAAGATTTTAATGCTAGGACGGGATGTTCAAATATTGCCAGTGAAATCTCAGACTAACTGAATGATTACAGCCTTAAGGAAAGGGCAACCGAGACTCCCCTCAGTCTTCCCACTGATAGTCTCTATATGCAGTGAACAGATGTGGACATATACCCTATTTCAAAAGAAAAAAAATCTAAGGAGTTGTTTAAAAAAAATCAGTTCAACTTTTGAATAAAAAAGAAATGATGCTATCTCTTTAGGAAACCCTCGTCAGCGTTTTGCGGAAGGAATGGTTGTAGTTAAAAATGCGGTGGTGGAGGGACACCTGGGTGGTGTAGTCGGCTAAGCATCTGACTCTTGGTTTTGGCTCAGGCCTAATCTCAGAATGGTGAGACCGAGCCCCAAGGGGGGCTCCATGCTCTGTGCGGCGTCTGCTTGAGTTTCTGTGTCCCTTGTCCTCTGCCCCTCCCCCAGCTCGCACGCGTGTGCACGCTCTCTCTCTCGCTCTCTCTCTCTCGTACAAGTAAATATAACTTAACAACAACAACAAAGAATGCAGTGGGGGACCCAAACAAATGAATCCTGCTAGGCCTTCACTTATTCAGATGTTTAGAGGTGACAGTAATTGTCACCACTGTTTTACGAGCATAGAGCATGTGTCAGGTCCTCTTCCATGCTTGTTCTACCGTCATTTTACAGATAAGGAAACTGAAGCATGAAGGGGTTAATAACTCAGGAAACGAGTGGCAGAGTTGTTGGCATGTCTCACAGCTTCCCCTCTTACTATTGACAATACTCCAGACTTCTGTTCTCTGTTATCCTAATCACCTGCCTGTAGGGAACCAACAGTGGTTTGCAGCCATGGGGCAAGGGCGGGAATCCAAGACTGAGTCAGGGAAACCGAGGTCCACATCTAGACATTCCTCCAGCAAGGACTTTCTGTTTTGTAACACATCGACATGGGACGTTCTTCCTAGAAGGTGGGGGCCGTGGTTTCCCAGGGTGTGAAGGATCTGTTTTGCAGCGGCTCCTCTTGACTTAGACAGTAGCTCTCACAGCACCTGTTTCATGCCCATTTCTCACACAGAGAAGTCTTTGGTCCTTTAAATCCTTGCACCCATTCTCTTCCTAACACTGTATTTTTCTGGATGACAGGGAATAGTGGATATGTCTCTGGCTTGGTGGACCAAAAGACATGATCCTGGAACTTCCCTCTACTGTTAGTGGGAAAGGCTTCTGAGACTCAGTCAAACCAGCCCTTCCTTCCTTTAGGAACAGATGAATCTTTGAAAGTGCTATAGCATCTTTAAAAAAAAGTCAGTGATATCTCTTTATGAGGACTTATTTTAAAGAAAAATTTGGCACAGGGAAATTTAAGAGAATATTTTTATTATATGACCTTGAGAATAATTTTTATCATGTAAGATCCCTCTTCTAGCACCCTTGGTAATGGTTCTATCATTTGTTTAAAGAAGTTTGTGTATGTCAAGTTTGTGTTCTTTGATGGAAAGATGAGTTTTCTCAGAGAACATGGTCACTGGACATAGAAGCCATAAGTTAAAATAATAAAGCCTTACTAATAAAGTTAGAAAAAAGATTTATTCCCTGGCATTGGCAAGTAAGTGAGGTTGGCCTGGAAATCATTGAACAATCATATTAAGATTAGTTCTGTAGATGCTCAAAATGGGACAAGTAAATGCTCAAATTTGGACAGAGTCCACCCATCCTGAGACTGATAACACATGGTAATCATAGATCACCCTCTCAGACAATTGCTTAAAATCAGCCACAGCCAATATCACATCCACTGCAGAGAAAATGTGAGGAGTCATCACATTTTGGGATGACTTCAATGGAATAGAATGACTGAGGTTTTGAATTTGATTAATTACTTTACGTTATCCCTTCAGAGAGACCTCTACTTTTAATGGGAACCTAGAAAAAATATAATTGGTGTAAACGGTTAGGCTAAAAATAGACAGTGAATCTTCCCATTCTAAAAGCTACAGAATTTCCTAGGTAATGTCAATCTAAGTTTGAAATGGTGAGAGTAAGAAAAAGGGAAGAGGGATTAAATGTGCCCATTTATTGGAAGCCCTGGGACACCTAGAAGGGATATGTAATCCTGGTCAAGGCCCACATCAGAGTCTTCGTTCACTTGGAACTTCAGTTCAATACTCCTGCGAATCCTTGCAAAGGCTTTCCACCTTTCAGATTTCCCTCTCTCACATCAGCCTGCCATTGCTACATCCTGTTGACTCCCCAGGAATAAATAGAAACAATTCTTCCAAGCCAGACAACCCCTGAGTTCACATTTACAACCCAGGACTCAAGCAGTTTTGCTTTTAATTTTACTATTACTACATCCAATACAGCTAGGTTGTAATTTTGGCCAACGTCAGTTGATGCTTCTAATTTGTGGCTTCTATTTATTTTTGTAAAGTGAATTAATTCCTGGATCTATTAATCCAGCAAAATCCATGAATACTTAATGTTCAGTTTGCTTAGAATGAGTCACAGTGTATTTGTTCCTTCTCAAATATGACTTCTTGCTGAGCGTTGGATGAGCTCCTCTTAGATAGCGTGCCTTATATCTTGCATGATTTATTCACTTTCATGTTCCATAGAATTTACTGCAAAAGGTTGACATGAATACTTACAGTTTGGGCTCTAATATAATCTCTTGGATGGCAATTAATAAATAAAAGATGGTTACTATTGTTGACAGAGGAGCTAAGCTTTCTCAGATAGCGTTCTTCATCTTCTTGTTTTCACCAAACTTCACGTCAGACATCCTGAGGGGTTGATGGTGTAAAATATTTTCTGTAAACTCCAAAGCTTTTACTGTTGCTTCAATACCCCAAACCTCTATGTTGCCTTTTGTTTTCTTGTCAGAAACAATCTTATCCAATTTCTGTTTCTTCAACTTGCCTTCCTTCCTGAGAATATTAGAAGTATGCCTCTTTTTGAATTTAGTAGCAACATAGTCTCAGTGTTTGTGACTTGCAAGTAGCATCTGAAATCTGACCCTGAAATTTCTTGTAATTTTTTTTTCGCTCAAGCTCATCTCGGTTGCGTTGATCCAAGATACACTGTCGCCTATAAAATGCAGTGTTTATTGTCATCATGTATGTTGTCCAAAGTGCAGAATTGCCTCCTGTAAGTTAATGATGAAAGCAGAATTATAGGAACTTCTGATCTTTGTAGTTTGCCTACTTGGCCAATCTCACGGGACTAATCTAGACTGATGATCTTCTTCTAGAGATGAGGACTCTGTGGGCCAGTTTAAGTAGCTTGACTCTAATCGAACTGAGGGCAGAGGCCAAGTTTCTCTTTAGAGCAGAAATGCTGGAGTGAGGCTGCCTAACGACATTCCCGGTTCTGACGCAGAGTGAGTGTGTAATTTTACAGCCGTTATTTCTCTGTTCTGTGCGTGAGTTCTCTCATCTATAAAATGGGATTAACAATAATAACTGTCGGGATTATAGGAAGGTAATACAGGTAAAGCACTTAGAATAGGACAAAGCTTGTCATGCCATGTTAGCTATTAGAATTATTATTATTCTATGTTGAACATATGGAAAAGAGGCATTGAGTAAGGTACTTTATGTACATAATCCTTAGTATGTACTCAATCTGTATCTGTCGAAAAACTGCAAAGTAGTTTATTCCCAGAAACGCAAATGTGGCCTCCATGTGGTAATAACCTCCTTCACAACTGGAAAGGATCATGAGATGTCACCCCAGTGGAAAGGGGCCCTGATAGAATTATTTCCATCTTTAAAATAATCTTCGTGCCGCTGGTATTTAGATAGCCTAATCCTGCTACAGACAACCAGAAAGCCTGACTGTGGCTGGGAATGGAGGTCACGGCATGGGGGAAGGGGGCAGCTACAGGGCCAAATGGTGCCAATGAAAGATATTATATATCGGAAAACAAATTACTAGAATTCACTTAGGTTTTGGGTTTGTTTGTTTGTTTGTTTGTTTGTTTGGAATTACATATTACACTTAAAAATTACCCCTTTTCTAGATATCCAAATAGAAATACAGTTTTGGACAATAAGCATTGACACAGAAAAGTTATTTTCTTTCTTGCTTTGCTTTATTTATTTATTGACTAAATGAATTGCATTCATGATACATTAATAGCCACTAGAGTGAAGTGTTTAATCATAAAAATTACAATCACTTCAATGTTGATTTCTATGCATAGTATGTTACTCAATAATCACAAAAATGATCATGGAAGTGGTAGAAGATACCGTGTAGGGGCACCTGGGTGGCTCAGTCAGTTGAGGGTCTGATTCTTGATTTCAGCTCAGGTCATGATCTCACGGTCATGAAATTGAGCTCTGCATTGGGCTCTGTGCTCAGCAGGGAGTCTGCTTGAGACTTTCCCTCTCCTACTACCTCTCCCCTCTCCAAAGCTTGCTTGCTCTCTCTCTCTCTCTCTAAAAAATATATCTTTAAAAAGCCACAATGTAGGGAATACTTTGGATGGGCACTGTGAGAGAAGCCCTCTTGATCTTAGATGCTCTGTGTGTGTGTGTGCATGTATAATCTCTATAGACTGCTAGAAACGTTCAAATTCATAGATATCTGTGTATGGGCATATATACACACAGGCATATTTATATAGTATTTGTTATCATTTTAAATCTTACCACAACTTCACAAAAAAAAAAAAAAAAAAAAAAAAGGAAACTAAGGTTCCAAGAACTCAAACCATTTGGTCAAGGTCACGAAAAGTTGGCAAAACTGGGGTCAAACCCCAAACCCCACCCACTCAGAAACCCCCCTTTTTAAAGATGCCCAAACAAATATTTTTGGAACAGCAGACTTTTCCACTACACCACACCATGCCTCATTGGGGAAAGGGTCAATTTTTGCCCTTTCTTTTCCAGACTCTCCAAGCAAAGATTTCGGTCCAACTCTGGGTTTGAAAAAGTCCAGTTCCTTGGAGAGCCTCCAGACTGCGGTTGCTGAGGTCAGGAAGAATGAACTTCCCTTCCACAGGCCCCGGCCGCACATGGTTCGCGGCCGCGGCTGCAACGAGAGTTTCCGGGCAGCCATTGACAAATCCTATGACGGACCAGAAGAGCTTGAAGCTGGTAGGACTAAGGGCCTCCTTACCCGGTTTCTTCATCTCATTATCATCCGCGAATCATAGCCAAGGATGTGTGCTTAATGACAAAGAAAAATGATTTAAGGATCACAATTATATTTTTGATATTAAAAGTAATTCATTTTCCTGATATGTTTTACCCTTTGGCTTAACGAACGCGGAATTGGCTGACACAATATGCAATTTATTCGACAGTGCAAACGCTAAAGAAATGTCCCCTTTCACTTTCCTACAAGGACCAACTGTCATTTGCCCTTAGGCTGGGAGCACTAAGTATGCATTTCTTGACATTCTTATTCGAGTCATTAGAAGCAGCCTCAACCTGAGGACTGACTGCGTTAATTGGGTAAAAGCAGTTGGGTTACATGTGTCCTCAGAAAGCTCTCCTGGAAATAAACTCGCCCTGTTTGTTTGCCAGCACATGGGCTCTCGGAGCCAATCGAGGTTAACAAGCTGTCTTTCAGAGATATTCGTGTTGTGCCACGGATCAAACCTTTCATACCACTGGCTGAACCACCCACTGCTCCCTCCTCCCCACAGGAAACCTTACTTGAAGTAACCAGATTTAGGCAGTTGTCTCTTCAAAGGGTACAAGTAGCCACATGCAAGGTTAGAACTCTGGCATGGTTCCTTCATCCCTCTGTATTTTACATTTAACTTTTCTTGATACACTAACCGTGAGTGCCCCTGACCACATGTATTGATTTTTCTCTCCGCACAGACGGTCTGTCTGATAAGAGCTCTCACTCCGGCCAAGGGGCTCTGAGTTGTGAATCTGTCCCTCAGGGGAACCCTGAGCTGGAGGACGGGGAGCAGAAAGCCAGGAAAATCAAAAAACCGAAAGAGAAGGAGAAGAAGAAGGAAAAGGGCAAACTGAAAGTCAAGGAGAAAAAGCTGAAAGAGGAAAATGAAGACCCAGAGAGGAAAATAAAGAAGAAAGGATTCAGTGCCATGCTGAGGTATGGGCGTGCTGTGAAGGCACAGTGGGCCTTGTCTTGCTTTTTGGTTTTTCCCAGTGAAATCGCTCATCTGTGTGTATCCAGAAAACAATGGCAAGTGTTCCCTCCTTTTTAGCTAAGTGCATAAAAATCTCAACTGCGAAGGCACTTGTTCCTTTCCTGCAGAAGCAGAAGGAGCCTTCCTGGGTGGCCCCCGAGGCTTCCCGGGATGATAGGAGGCTGTGATCAGTTTGCTGTGAACCAAAGGCTGATGCCTGGTAGAGGCACGGGCTGTGCTTGCAGCCCTTGGTTTATGCGGTGGATTAAATGCGTCTTCAGTGTAGGGAAAGCGAGGGGTGAGAGGGAGTCCCCCACCACGGCGTGTATGACACCCCTGGTGACTTAGAGAAGACAGAGTAGACGGACGTCACTCACCCGCCCTGGAACCAGAGGTGTGTGGCCAGGCCTGTGAGCACGTTAGCACCTGCAGAAGCTAGGAGTGGTCAGTGGAGAGGTCACTGCGTCTAGGGTCAGAGCACCCCGTCCTCAGTCCGTGACCCTGCCCGGCTTCATGGGTTGCTTCACTTCCCCAAGCCTTCCTCTCTTCACTTTAACAGTGAGGCTGGGCATGTCCCCAAAGGGCACAATCAGAAACCAACTTTGGCTCCTGTCCTACAGCTAATTCCAAATGTGCTTTGTTGATGCTGAAACAATGTCCACGATTCAGTGACGTCACTCCAGCCGGTGGCTTTCTGGTCACTTTGGGTATTAAAACAACCTCTGCCTCGGAGTCTAAAACGCCAGTCTAATGTTAACCTAAACTTCCCCTCCCTGCCCCTCAAGTCTCTACCCCAAGGTGATGTGGGGGCAAGATCCTACCTTCTCCTGCTTCTCAGTCTCTGGACCCAGGGGGAAGGGTAGGGCAGTTTTAGAACCAGGGTGGAATTCCTCTCCACCAATCCTGCCATAGTGATGTCCCAACCAGCCTGACATGTTCAGATTTCTCCAGGGCAGGGTCCAGCCCTGTTTTGTGCCTCCCCAGCTCTGGAGCCACAAGCCAAACCCAAGCTTGCATGCATGGGGAAGGAAGAGGGGCAGTGAGTGTTTGCGTCTCAAGCAAATGGGGAAGATGACCATCTCCCTTCATACAACTGCCTTCAAATTCTCTCAGGGGTCATCCTGCAGACTCCTCACTTACTTTATTGGGGGAAATGGGGGGAAGCAGCCCTTTCCATTATTTTCTTTGCTCTTACAACTTTCCATCACAAAGAATCTCTCTCTCAATCTCTATCCTTCTTTTATCCAGGGGCTGAACGTGAGGGATGGGAGGTGATGTTGGCTACCTCTTAGTCAGCTCTTAGGAGATATCTCTCTCAAGAATACTGGGTGGCTGGGGTGCCTGGGTGGCTCAGTGGGTTAAGCCTCTGCCTTCGGCTCAGGTCATGGTCCCACGGTCCTGGGATTGAGCCCCATACCAGGCTCTCTGCTCAGTGGGAAGACTGCTTCCCCCTCCCCCTCTGCCTGATTCTCCGCCTACTTGTGTGATCTCTCTCTCTCTCTCTCTCTCTCTCTCTGTGTGTCAAATAAATAAATAAATGAAATCTTAAAAAAAAAAAAAAGAATACTGGGTAGCATTTGTCATCAGATGTTTTTAGTTTGGGTTTTTTTTTTTTTTTAAGATTTTATTTATTTATTTTAGAAGGAGAAAGACACAAGTGTGAGAGGGGGAGGAGCAGAGTTGGGGGAGGGAGTCTCAAGCAGACTCCTCACTGAGCACAGAGCCTGAAGCAGGGCTCAATCTCATGACCCTGAGATCACAACCCCAGGCAAAACCAAGAGTTGAATACTTAACCGACTAAACCAGCCAGGTACCCCAAGTTTGGGATTTTCAATGAAAATTTTCAGACAGAAACAGAAAGCTCTATTCTGTAAATGTTATTCATATGTAATATATGAATATAAATATAATCTGTTATTATATATAAATATGGAAAGAGAGACTCATTGAAACTGCAAAATCACATTTAGGCAACACAGATAATATTGATAGCAGTAGGACACGTCTCAATAAATTCTGGTTTGTTTTTCCTGGTGGTCTCTATAGACTCTGTCTTCCCATTTGACATTTTGAATGTTATACTTGCCCTTTTTCCAGGTAATTATTATGATTGCCAGAATTTGCGGGCTGTGCTTTAACCATCCTGATAATAATGACACACACAATCCAAATATATAGATGGGAATTGCCTTTGAATTTATGGAGGTCAGAGGTTAAACAGGACAGGCTCTGCGGTGGAATGCTAAATTCAATCCCAGCTCTTCCTGTTATCTATCTAGGTAGCATTCGGCATACTGTTCAATCTATGTGCCTCAGTTTCCTCATCTGAAAAATGGAAATAATAATAGAATATACCATTATTATGGGAATTATATGTGTTTAGTTACATGTAACATGCTTATAGAACAGCACCTGGCAAGAAATACACATTCAATAGATGTTGTGGTAAGCAGAATAAAGGCCCCTTAAAGATGTCCATAGCATAATCCTTGGTACCTGTGAATATGTCATGTTGCATAGCAAAGGAGAGTTAAGGTACAGATGGAACTAAGGTTGGGGATCATCTGACTTTAAGATAAAGATGATCATCCCAGATTCCCCCCATGACCCAAAGTAATTATGAGAAGCCTTAAAAGTAGAAGAGAGGCTTGCCTGGGAGGCTCAGTGGGTTAAACCTCTGCCTTAGGCTTGGATCATGATCTCAGGGTCCTGGGATCGAGCTCCATATCAGGCTCTCTGCTCAGCAGGGAGTCTGCTCCCCCCCCCCGCCCCCAGCCTGCCTCTTTGCCTACTTGTGATCTCTGTCTGTCCAATAAATAAATAAAATCTTTAAAAAAAATAAAAGAGGAATATATGACTGAAGAAGAAAAATACAGAGGAATGCAATGTTGCCAGCTTTGAGATGGAGGGAGGTGGCCATGAGCCAAGGAATGAGGGCAGCCTCTAGAAGTTAGAAAGGGCAGAGGAGGGGATTATGTCTAGAGAGCCTCTAGGAAAGAACCCAGCCTACCAAATCCTTAACTTCAGCCCATGTCTGTTGTTTAAGCCACTGTGTTTAAGATACTCTTTTATAGCATCAATAGAAAGCTAACATAGTTATTATAATTATTAGTAGTACTTCTACAATATCGTGGTAATTTATAGGAAAACAAGTTCCTCTTTAAGGTGTTAAAGAAAAAACAAAACAGATTTAACTAGAGTGGTCTACATATATAAAAACTATTAAAGCCTCACATATCCCATTTTTCTAGAATATTACTGAAGTAAGCCTTCACTCTATTTTTTGCTTCAATGACTCAATTTGGCCAATTCATACTCTGCTGCTGGAATATAGAGCACATTCCTTCTGTTGTCCGATATACGCTGTATTTGCCCATGGTGGAAATCACACGTCCTAGATCCTTTAGACATCGAGCAACTCCGTTTTGTTTCCTTCTCCCGTTTCAGGAAAATTAAGATCTGAAAGGCGGTGTTTGATTTTATCTCCCGTGTAAAAATAGCAACTGTTTTCCATAGCCTTTTGCATCTGAGTGTGTGAGCATATTGGAGTTGCTGCTGCATGCACATTTTCAGCAACAAAGAACACAAAAGCTATTGCCATTAGCCAACAGATTTTGCTTTAATTCTCATCTGTTGCTCAGATGCTATTGACTTCGTTTTTTTCTTATTTAAAAAAAGATTGATTGCTTTAAGGTTCTCTAGAAGGTAGATGTGTGGCTTAAATATGTATTATTTGTTCCATTATCTGCATTTCACAGCCACTCTCCTGACATGGAGCTTTAATGCAGGTTGTGCCATGGACAGTGGCACCTGGCCAAGGGCACATGTGGGGACAAAAATCATCTCCCTCTCCTCACTGAAGCTATGCATCACAAAAGTGTGAATGTGTTAGCAGTGGCTTTGCTCTGGCTTGTAACATGCTAAGTGTTGTGTGCTTTTCTAATATTAGCTGGTCCATTCATGTTAATGATATGTAGTCATAGACTTTAGCTCATTAGTTAATTTGACCTACTCCTGATCCTTTTGAAAAAATTATGGGGATCTCATTAATTTGTATCTTTAAATGTGCGGTCTGGTGCCAGTATGCTTAATACTTTTCTTTCTTTCTTTTTTTGTTTTTAAGATTTTATTTTTTTATTTGACAGAGATCACAAGTAGGCAGAGGCAGGCAGAGAGAGAGGAGGAAGCAGGCTCAGAGCAGAGAGCCTGATGCGGGGCTCGATCCCAGGACCCTGGGATCATGACCTGAGCCAAAAGCAGAGGCTTTAACCCACTGAACCACCAGGCACCCTCTTTTCTGATTTCAGAATTACCTCCTCATAGAGTCAACTATGGCTCTGACACAAGCCATGAATTATTATGGAAAAATATGCAGCTCAAGAATTTACCAACTTTGTTAGTTTCCCTGAATCCTCTGTTTACCTGTTGTTGAAAGAGGACATTGGGAATCAAGATGCTTAAATTTTTTCATCACGTGTTGGCTTCCTTACGGCCTTGTGCTCTTCATGGCACTAGACTATAGAGATAATGCCTGTGGCTCCTTGCAGCCAAAGGCTAAAGCCCAGACCCACTCAGTAGACAAGCCAATTGCCATCAGCCCCTGGCTGTTCTTCTGGGGTCTAGCAGATCTTTTCTAAGCACTGGAGAGAAATAGCCTTTGGCCAACAAAATCTTGCCCAGTCTAGAGCAGAAAGCCCAGCATGAAGTCCCTAATTTCTTAATTATTTAATAGCCATGTGGATCTTTGGTTCTTTTTTTTTTTTTTAAGATTTTATTTATTTATTTGACAGAGACCACAAGTAGGCAGAGAGGCAGGCAGAGAGAGAGAGGGGGAAGCAGGCCCCCTGCTGAGCAGAAGGCCCGATGCGGGGCTCGATCCCAGGACCCTGGGACCATGACCCGAGCCGAAGGCAGAGGCTTTAACCCACTGAGCCACCCAGGTGCCCTGGATCTTTACATTCCT